AAGGGGAAGAGCCAGCTAAGAGCTTATGGGTCAAGTTTTGTAGGCAAACCCACAGGGATGACACTGCAGTGACTTTCTGCTATAGGCCACCTAATCAGGTAGAGGAACTAGATGAGGCTCTCTTCAGAAGTCTCACATCACATCCATACCTGACCTGGGCTTGAAAAATTCTATGACAGCAGGAAGTGAAGTATATATGAGCGATAAAAAAGAGACTCCAGAAGCAATATTCTGCAAATACTGAGATTTTACTGCAGTTTAAATCCATTCAGTTTTTATCTGAATTAGTTTGCTGTAGCCACTCTAGCTTGCATTCATTCTTCTTTTTCTGGAATCATCTTCTGCTTCTTTTATAAAATTCTTACAGTTGACAAGAATTCCCATTAGTGCAGACAGGGCAATTCCACTTAACCAAAGAAGCAGCATCTGCCAATATGAGGCTCTAGGTCAGAGCCAATACCAATAGGTGTTATTCCACCACTGTGTGTTTATATGATATTGTCAAGCTTGTTCATGATAGAATGGTGTTTCTTTCGCAACTGGATGGTAGATCTAGTGTCTGTCCTTTTCTTTGTGTTCATTATCAGACATCTTAGTTGTTAGATGATATGCAAGGTAATGTATTTAGAGTTAGGTTATGTTGCTTACTTTTTGCTCTTTTTTGTCTGCTCAAATATGTGTGGTGATATTTTGTCTTTCCAGCCCAGCAGGAGCCTGTAGCTGCACATCAGGTACTTCTATAGGAGTTGTTACCATGGAAGGGCCCTTAAGAAGGAAAACATTGCTCAAAGAAGGCAAGAAACCTACTGTAAGTCCTTGATGTGATTCTAATTAAACTGTGGGTTTTTTTTAATTTCCAGGGATCAATTCAACTTGCATCATGGCACCAAAGAAAGAATGATCTTTTTTTTTTCTAATGTATTGCAAAATCACTTTCTATTCAAAAGTTTTAACTGGGATAATAAGGTGGTAATCCTTGCCTGTCATAACATTCCAGACTGTGACAGCAGAACAAGAGGCTAGCAGCTCTGAAAGGCCAGAAACTTGGTGTCATGTGAAAACAGGAGGGCTGCAAGACATCCACCCTTAGCACAAGAGATCTGGTCTTTCATATTTACCCTAAATGATTCTAATGATATATCGTATAGAAGGCAGCATGCTACTCTGATGTGAAACAATCAATCCAGAAATTTTCATCAGATAGAGATGGAGTAGGATGGATTGTGTTAATGGCAAGGCACCAGAATTTAGGTAGCTGGGATGAGCTACTCCAGAAAACAGTCAGTGTCTGACTCTGAATTCCTTGCTTCCAAGCTTAAATTTGTCAGCCCTTGGACTTGATGATAAAAAGGTTTTTGAAATATCTGAGGTATGATAAGTTCTAATTCTTTCTTTGCTTTCTGATTTAGATCTCATCATGGACTAGATACTGGGTTACACTTTCAGGATCAACTCTTCTGTACTTCGGAGCAAAATCTTTAAGAGGCACTGAAAGAAAACATGTAAGGCTTAAAATTTGTTCCAAAACCAGAAAAAAAAAAAGTCATAAACAGTTCTGGAAGGGTATTTGAAGTGTATTTGCTATTGTTTCAGGCTAAGCCATATCTGCACAACTTTTATAGTCAATAATTAATTCCCACTACAGTCTTGGTTGTGACTGACTTATCTGTCTCTTCCAGTATAAATCCACACCTGGTAAAAAGGTCTCCATTGTCGACTGGATGGTAGCACTACCTGATGACCCTGAACATCCTGATATTTTCCAGTTAAATAACCCTGACAAAGGTAGATGTTGCAAGACGGAATTTCTCTGCACTGCATTTCATGTGTTTGTAGATAAGAGCACTTGCAGTGATACTCATTTTAAAGACTGAAGGAGAATTTCAAAGAAGGGTACAAATGGAGTGCTTCTATGGTGTCTACAGAAGTTTTGTTCCATTTGACAATTACTGTAAGAATTGCAAGAATTGCCTAATATGAGATTACTTTCTTAGAGTTGGTCAATACCAAATCTTGAATTACAGGGAGGCCAATTTAAATATTATGGAAAACCTTCAAACATCAATCTTTTATCAAAAAAAAATATTATTTAGATTACTTTTTAGCAATTAATTCTAAAGTGCCATAACTCTTCCACCTTGATCAAACTTCAAAAACTTTAAAAGATCAGAAAGACCCTGGAATTGTTTTGCACTTTCAAGGTTATGTGAAAATTTTTGAGGCTTCCTGAGGCTTTCTTCCTCTTCTCACATTTTCAACTTCACAATTTCACAAATATCAAAAACATCAATTGGACAATTGACAGTAATCACAGCAGACTTAATGAAAAAAAAAAAAAGCTAGGAGCAAAATAATTTATATCTGCTCACCTTTCTGACTGGTCTTTTCTGTGACTGTAATTTGGTCTCATGGACCATATGCCCCTTATATCTTTACAGACCACATGTGTGTTTATGCTCCCTTCACCCATGGATTGTTAGTTAACATAACTCCTATGAGCTGTGTTGTATTAGAGAGATGCCGTTTGACCATTTGAGGTGAAAAATAATTCAATTGTTTACTTAAGAGTTTTGTCATATAAATCCACATAAATCCATCAAGGCTATATTTATGTTGAATTTCTATGTTGCAAATTCAGAGCCTTTGATTTTCTTAATTTTGTAGGCAATGTTTACAAGTTCCAAACTGGTTCAAGGTTTCATGCAATATTATGGCATAAGCATTTGGATGATGCCTGCAAAAGCAACAGGCCTCAGGTGAGGTTGGGAAACTATATTTCTACTCAGTTTTTCGCATTTTCAAAAAAACCTTACTAGAAGAAGATGCTTCTTTGCCAATTTTGGGTGCACGCAGCCCTGTGGGGATGTTCATAACTCCTTGTTTTGTACATTGATCCAATTTTGTAATAGGAAAAATAAAAGTTAAAACCGTAGAATTCCCACCAAAAGTCATGATTTGTGCAAGTCTAGCTATATGTTTGGAGACCTTAAAAGTGCATAACCCTTACACTCACTGCTTCAGGTGAGTGTAACCCTGTCTTTACTTTGGAAGAAGCTTTCTCATGAATAGTGTGTCAAACAGGGCAGCATTTATGCTGATGACTGGGTTCATAAGTAGCGTTGAGGAGACTATCCCATAAGTTGTCATTTTATCCTTTAGATAGCAGCACCATTCTTCTGAGAAAAATGTTCACTCTTAAAAGGATTTTCAAAGGTTGTATTACTAGGTTGCTACTCCATGCAGGAGATTAAACAGAGCGGAGCTTGAGAATCTTCTTTATGCCTGCCATGCCCTCCTGCCTCAACACGTACTGATGAATTTGTAGAATATTTTGGTTAGATTTTGTCCATGAATATAAAAAAAAAATCGGGTTTTTATCTTTCCTTACAGTTGTGGCTTGTTGGGCCTGTTTGGGATTGATTGCACTGTCATACTGAGCCCATTGTATTTTATAATTTCTTGATGCCATAATAGATTCAGGAGCTTTATACTGCTGAATAATTTACATTTTCTTCCAGGTACCTGCTAATCTAATGTCATTCGAATAATTTCCTGTCTTACGTGGTGTGACTTCAAGTGCCAAACTGAAGAAACAAACTATTGTTCTCTTAAAGAGGAAGAGGATAAAAAAATGGTTTCTCCTGACATGAGCCAGCCACATATATTTCAGCACTTTCCTGTGTAACTTGAAAGTGATTCTGGCACAGCTTTTAAAAGCAGAAAGTGAATGTTGTCCCTAGGACCAGATAAAGTCTCATGCACTGAGTGAAAGTAGACAATTTAGGTGGACAGAAGAGTAATCCTGACTGCTGCAGGATTCTAGAGCCCTCAACTCTAATTTTGTGGTCACAGACTGCCCTGAAAAAGTGTTCAGACACAAACTTTGCATCATATCTTCTGCCTATTCTTTTTTTAAACTGTTATTTTTATTATTAAGCTGCTTTGTGTGACTGAAGAACATTTGGCCCATGTTGGGTTTCAATTCTTTTCTAATGCACAAAATGATTTATGGTGTTAACTTGCTGCAAAGTGACAGAATAGAAAATTGTAGAACAACATTTTTATAACTTAAGTGCACTGAGTTGCTTGGCAATGTGGCTGCCTCAGATTTTATATCAAATTTCTGGACAATTTTGCTGTTCATATTTGAGCTATTTGAAAAAAAAAATGTATTTTGGCACAGGACAATTAGTAGCATT